GACCATTAATTAACTTTTGACACCCAAAGGACGTTAATCTAGGGCATTTTCATTCAAAAAAATGAAAATGGGAGATTCTCGAAAATTCCTTTGTTTGAAATAGCATGTATGACTCTTTTTTTCAGTTTTTTTTTTTTTTTTTTAGTCATAGCTGCTGTTGCAGAGATGAAGTGAAGGCCTCATTCAGTTTATGAAAGATTCACGTGGATGATACGAGTGTCGTGCCGTGTCGTGATTAACTGTAAACGCTCATCAAATAAAGATAAGCACGCGACGTTTGGAGGCCTTGTAAGCTTTCGTCACGCGTGTGTCCCCGCTTGTGTGCGTGTGTGTGTGTGTGTGTGTGTGTGTGTGTGTGTGTGTGTGTGTGTGTGTGTGTGTGTGTACAGTGGGTGCACTGGGGGTCAGGGTTGTTGTCATGTGATGTAGCCAGATGACCTAGGAGTGTGTGTGTGTTTGTGTGTGTGGGTGTAGGGGGGGGGCGGAGGGCAGGGGGGCGACCTTGCCACTTCTCGTCTCCCGCGAGCCGTTATGAGGAAACCAGTGAAACATTGGACACACACACACACACACACACACACATAGCATATGTCAAATTGCCTTCAAGTTTTGTGTGTGTGTGTGTGTGTGTGTGTGTGTGTGTGTGTGTGTGTGTGTGTGTGTGTGTGTGTGTGTGAGGGGGATGGTCGACCCCCACCAACACACACACACACACATATCCTTTCTCTCCAATGCTGCTGATGTTTCTTATTTTTAGCACAGATCGAGTTTCCACAGCCCTCCCGGCAGCCTGGAGCAGCTCCCGAGTGTTTGGCAGCGCGAGTGGAGCGGAGGTCGGGAACGATGGCGCGCCGACTTCAAGGAAAGTGCCAAGTCATTGTGATGCTCTGCTGATAAATGAATACGAAATCCTGCTCTGTGGCAGGTAAACGCCAACACGTGCTTGTGCTCGTATTTGGAATGTATTTTAAAGTGAGCCTTGAGTGTTTACGGAGATCGGACATTGTATTTAAAATACTCTCTTGAATATTCGTCTTTGTTGCGCTCCATTTATGAGTTTAGATTCAGTTTATTTGGCTCGACTTCATCCTGCCGGTCTTCCTTTGTTTGATTTTCTCCCCTTCAGACAAGGAGACGTGAATGTGAAGTGATGCTGCGGCAGGATGAAGGTGAGGAGCGACGATTTTCCTCCATAAAGTCCTCCACTGGTTACACCCATGACAATTGTAATGATCAAAAAGGCATTTCCTTAATTTTTTTTTATCTTTTACATCAAGAAAAAGTATTATATCTTTTTTAGAAAGAAAAGTTGGAACCAATGTTTTTGAGAAACAAATTTAAATGTCTCAAGGGAGAATAAAAAAGTGTAATTAAAAAACGCTATTTAAAAAAAATAATTCTTACTAAATTGAACGGGGGGGGATTTTTTGTTTAAAAAATGGGTATTCGAAAAAGTCTCCCCCCCAAAAAGTTAGGGAAAAAAAAAACTATTTTAATGTTTTAAATTTTGATTTAAAAAGTGCATGTTTTTACAGTAAAGTTGTATATATTTTTTAGGAAAAAAAACCAACTTTTTAAGAACATGTCAAATATTTTAAAAAACGTTCCAATGTATTCAAGAAACAATTTGGTCATTATCCAGAAGTCGTATTTTTGTTTTTAAAAATCATATCTTTCAAGAATTTGTTTCAAGGAAAATGTGGATCTTTTCAAAAAAGGCATACAAAACAGGCAGAAAAAAAAATCTTCATATTTGGTTGAAAAATGTGTTCATTTTCTCAAAATATATTTCAGACAAGTTGAGGTGAATGCAAAGTGATGCAGTGTGATGAAGTTGAGGTAAAATATTTTCTCTAAGTCCTCCATTGGTTGTGCTGATTCGTGGAACTTGTTAAAATAACATATGTTCTCAGTCTAAGGACCTGTTAATTTTAGTAATTCCATCAAATGCCCTCATGGGACCACATTCTGCCCATGCGCCGAGGCTGCCCATCTCTTGGCTTCAGTGTATTGTAGTGCTACTGTGTTGACATTTAGGAGGCTCTGTGAGTGCCACATTTCGACAATTTATTAAGCTCTCTTCCACGAAGGCTGACAAAGGCCCACTGCCACGCATTTGAGTCACGTGACGAGGGTAGCAATGATAGTGTCCGCACGACCCCTGGTTGACCTCCAGAGGTCGCCATTTCACTTAGGTCAAGATACTGCATCTTACATTTTTTACAGTACCTATACTGTACTGTGATACAAACAATTTGGAACGACTTGTGAGGCGCCGTCTTTGTCTATTCGTAGTTAGTTTTAAAGCATAATTAAAACCACTTTACGAAGTCGTTACAGTTTTTGTTGCTTTAAGGAATAACGTGTATTTAGATCGTTGCAATTGTGTGTTTATGTGGCTACTGTAAGTCCTGTTGCAAAGCTAGCAAAATACTTCATCCTTCCAACTGCGGTGTCTGTTGAGTTATTCCGTAAACTGAACGACAAAGTTAGCCAGAGGGGTACTTGTCTTCTTGTTTTGCCTCGCGTCTAGTTTAATAGCACATTGTTCCACTAAGATATATTTAACGCATACGTTGTTTTGATATTTATTAAATACGTTGCAAAGAGTTAAAACGTAGCCGAGTATATCATCCTCCCCCCACCACACCACCATACGAACGCTGAATGTTTCAAACAGCGGGTGAGGTTTGCTGCGGCAAAGTGCAGACTGTTATTTCCAGGACCGAACTACAAAGTTTGCTAGGAGGGGTGAGGGTTGTCTTGTCCTTTTACTTTTTGCTTTATCTTATGTTATAGTGTTTAATTTCACATGGATTCAGTTACCATATATTTAAATTTAATATTCATAAAACACAAGTGGTGACAAAACTTTAAAAAAAGGTGAGTAGGTCGTTATTTTAAGGTTGTGTCCCCCGCTGAGCACTGGCTTAATCTTCCCGTTCGCTCGTTTGTCCACTGATGAGGCTTGAGGCGAACAGTTATTTCCCGGACTTAACCAAAAGTTTGTCAGAGGGGTGCCCTTCTTCGTATTTTGTTTTTTTGCCCTCTCTATTTATATGTTGTTGGATTGCACAATCATTATTTTATTAATAATACAATTTACTATTTTGTAACACTTATATACACACACGGTAATTAAAGTTAAAAATGAGAAGTAAGTTACAAATTCACCGTCGTGTCCCCCCGAAACAAACGCTGAATCTTCGAGTTCACTCTTCCACCCTTCCTCCCTTTACCGACAACAATAAGCTCATCCATTTAACTCTGGTCTTAGCTTTTTCTGCAATCGCTTATTTTATCTCTGTCTTTGTTTTAAATGTTAAAAAAAATGGTAGAAGCTGAAGCCGTTTAGTTTGTCTACTGTCTTTTGGAGGGAGGGGGGTAACGGTGGTAGCCGGCCCCCGAAAGAAAGAAGTCGACGCGGGGGCTTGGGAGAAGAAAAAGTTGGCCCAAACTTTCGCTTGGTGCTGTTAGCTTGCCCGGAGGAAGCTAACGGTTAGCACCGGCGGATGCGCTCCTCGTCGACGGGGCGAGCTTTCGCACAACCATGCTGATGTGCTCCGTGGAAAAAGTGGATTTTAACATCACGTCGCGCGCCGTCGCTCGGCTCGTCTTCGAGGCCGAGCACGACCACCGGAATGGGGGGAATTCGTCCAACGGCAGGTAGGGGGCCGA